CTGTTGCCCGGGCTAGAGTGAGTGCCGTGGCGTCAGCCTCCTCACAGCAACCTCAACTCCTGGGCTCAGCGATCCTCCTGCCTCAGCCTCCTCCAGAGTAGCTGGGACTACAGGCATGCGCCACCACGCCGGCTATTTTTTCTATATATTTTTAGTTGCCAGCTAATTTCTTTCTATTTATAGTAGAGACGGGGTCTCGCTCTTGCTCAGGCTGGTCTCGAACTCCTGACATCAAGCGATCCTCCCGCCTCGGCCTCCCAGAGTGGTGAGGCTATTTACAGGTGTGAGCCACCACGCCTGGCCTACCTCAGTTAATTTTTAGGGGGAATAAAATGTCACTACTATTTGCTGAGAGACCTAGGAAAAGTTTACAAAACACACCCCGATTCTAAGTCTGTTTCATCGTCTATGCATACAGAGAGAGAATGGAGACAAGAAAAAACATTCTTCTTCCAAAATAGAAGGAGATGAACTACAGGTGACACCAGGCGGAAGTCCACAAGGGACCTCGACTGCAATTAGCTTCTTAGGAGTTGGGTGCCCGAAACAAGATGCTGTCCTGGCCGGGCGCGGTGGCTCACGCCTGTCATCCCAGCACTCTGGGAGGCCGAGGCGGGAGGCTCGTTCAAGGTCAGGAGTTCAAAACCAGCCTGAGCAAGAGCGAGACCCCCGCTCTACTATAAATAGAAAGAAATTAATTGGCCAACTAAAAAAATGTATACAGAAAAAATGAGCCGGGCGTGGTGGCGCATGCCTGTAGTCCCAGCTACTCGGGAGGAGGCTGAGGCAGGAGGATCGCTTGAGGCCAGAGGTTGGAGCTGCTGTGAGCGAGGCTGAGCCAGGCACTCACTCTATCCCGGGCGACAGAGTGAGACTCTGTCTCAAAAAAAAAAAAAAATATGCTGTCCTCAGATTCCCTATGGTTAAAGGGGCTGGTGCTTGAGTGTTTGCAAGCTTCCAAAGAAGTCTTGTTTTGAGCACTTTTTGGGGAATCAAGAGGGAGTGAATGAATGAGATGAATGAATGAATGAAGGGTGGCAGGTTGCTGAATGCACATCTACTCAGGAAAGCGAGACAGGGAAGTGGAGAAAAACAGACTTTTGGAGGTGGTCAGAATGAACTTGAGTCCAAATTTCAGCCTTTACGTGTCCTGACCTTAGCCCTTGTGATCGTGGCTGCCGTATCTATAAAGGGGAGATTTTCCGCAGGCCACACATGGAGCTCATTGGCGGTAAATGAGCAGCTGCATGTCACAATAATATCCCGGGGCCGGCGCGGTGGCTCACGCCTGTCATCCCAGCACTCTGGGAGGCCGAGGCGGGAGGATCGCTCCAGGTCAGGAGTTCGAGACCAGCCTGAGCAAGAGCGAGACCCCGTCTCTGCTAAAACAGAAAGAAATTAATTGGCCAAACTAATAAAATATATAGAAAAAATGAGCCGGGATGGGTGGCGCCATGCCTGTAGTCCCAGCTACTCGGGGAGGGAGGCTGAGGCAGGAGGATCGCTTGAGCCCAGGAGTTGAAGGCTGTTGTGACGCGAGGCTGACGCCACGGCACTCACTCTAGCCTGGGCGACACAGCAAGACTCTGTCTCAGAAAAGAAAAATGATAATAATAATAATAAAGAGGAAAAACAGAGGCTCGCTGTCTATAAATACACTGCTGGATCTGTCCCAAGGGAACGCATGTCCGTGGAACTCTAAACCCAGAAGTGACCTTAAGTATTGTTTGGTACAAACTTCATGACAGATGAAAGTGACACTGTCAACTGACTTCTTGGAAGTCCATAAAGCCAGTTATTTCCTGAGTTGTTCCTGGAGCCTCAACCTCCAGAGGCCGGCTCTGTGCCCTTGCTCTGTACCATTCTGGGTCATGGATGACCTTGAGAATCTCACCCTCACACCTCGTGTCCCTAACTGCGTATATGTGACACTTGGCAGTCGGTTTCAGGAGGTGTTAAGGACCAGGCCGGGTACGGTGGCTTACACTTGTAATCCCAGCACTTTGGGAGGCCAAGGAGGAAGGATCGCTTGAGGTCACAAGTTCGAGACCAGCCTGGAGCAGAAGTGCAGACCCCGTCTTCTACTATAAATAGAAAGAAATTAATTGGCCAACTAATATATATAGAAAAAAATGAGCCGGCGTGGTGGGCATGCCGTAGTCCCAGCTACTCGGAGGAGCTGAGGCAGGAGGATCGCTTGAGCCAGAGTTGGAGGTTGCTGTGAGCGAGGCTGACGCCACGGCACTCACTCTAGCCTGGGCGACAGAGCGAGACTCTGTCTCAAAAAACAGAACAGAAAAGAAATGAAGGAAAGACGCGGCGTTGTGCGGTTAGTGCAGTGTGTGCTGCAGGCGAGCAGTGGGCAGAGCTGAGAAGTCAGGCAGCCCAGCAGCCTCGCAGGGGCCATGAGGCTGGGAAACCAGGTGAGTCACTCGCTGAGAGAAGGACAAAAGTCACATTAATTAATCGTTATTTCACCAGGCACTTAGTGCTCGCTAAGCACCGTCGGTGTGCGTCTGTGTTGTGACTCTTGCTGCCACTCCAGGTAGGGACATCAGTACTGCATTTTATCAGGAGGGAGTGGAGCCTATGAAGGCTAATAGATTGGTCTCTGTCCCTGGGAGCAGTAAGTCCAGGGCAGGAGCAGAGGCTCGTGGCGTCAGCCTCGCTCACAGCAACCTCCAACTCCTGGGCTCAAGCGATCCTCCTGCCTCAGCCTCCCGAGGCTGGGACTACAGGCATGCGGCCACCGCGCCCGGCTCATTTTTTCTTATATATGTTAGTTGGCGAATTCATTTCTTTCTATTTTTAGTGGAACGGGTCTCGCTCTTGCTCAGGCTGGTCTCGAACTCCTGACCTGGATCCATCCTCCTGCTTCAGCCTTCCGAGGAGCTGGGACTTCACACATGCGCCACCATGCCGGCTAATTTTTTTCTATCTATTCTAGTTGTCCAATAATTTCTTTCTATTTTTTTTTTAGTAGAGACGGGTCTCGCTCTGCTCAGGCTGGTCTCGATAATGCATGCACTCTGTACTGCACAAGTCATAGTAGGACCTTCTTCCGTAGTCTTCAGGGCGCTCCCGTCAGGTCTATGCTGAGACAGTCCAGGTGATGCGAGGTTTAGTCTGCTGCTATACGCTAATTTTTTCTATATAATTGATAGGTATTTGGCCATTCTGCTCGAAATTCTTCATTTTCAGTAATGAGCGGTAATCGGATGGTGTAAGATAGAGTAGAAGATGGATGTTTCTGGCGTCAATTTGGCTGTACGAGGTGAAGGGTACTCAAATGTAAGTGAGACTCTGTCTCAAAAATAACTAAATAAATCAATAAATCAATCAATCAATAAATGAAGGGGACCATTCTAGAACTGAGGAGAGAGGCTGGGGCCAAGGCTGTACCCCTCAGATCTACTGAAACTGCCTCCTCGTGTTAGGAAAGGGCACTGGCTTGAAAAAGAGAGGCCAGGGTCTGCCACCGATGGTTAAGTGACCTTCGCAAGTCATTTCATGTCACTGGGTCACCAGAAAAATGGCGATCATGTCACGGAATTGTCATGACAACAAACAAATGACGTGAAATGTGTATTGCATTTATTTTTTATGTTTTTAATTAAGTTTTTCTGTTTTTTTATTTTTCTTTAAAAAAACTTGATAATTCTTTTGATAATGATCTTGAGCTTAATTTCAGATGGATGAAATGTGTATTTTATTTTATTTTATTATTTTTTTTTTTTTGGGTCCAAGCCCCAGAGCACCAACGCAGTGGCCACTCTCACAGGCAAGGACCAGAAATGTGTATTTTAAAGAGGTCTGCAACAACTATGCAAATGCAAGGACCGTGTGACTCTATTTATAGGTGACGTGTGGATCTGTTTGTTTTTTTTTTTTTTTTTTAACAGGGATCTCTGTGCGGAGACTGGCTGTGGTGGACGTTTTGTTGTCCTTGTACCTTGTGTCAACTGAAGAGGGACGTCGAGATGAGGAAAGAACTGTGTGCTTTGTAAAAGGCGCTTGGTAAGTCAGTGAGCTTTCTTTGACGATCTATGAATATCACAATGAAGTTCTCAAGAACATCTTTTATTTTGTTTATTTATTTATATTGAGACTGAGTTTCACTCTGTCGCCCTGGCTAGAGGGCCTTGGCTGTCAGCCTCGCTCACAGCAACCTCCAACTCCTGGGCTCAAGCGATCCTCCTGCCTCAGCCTCCTCCCGAGTAGCTGGGACTACAGGCATGCGCCTGTGGAAGAGGCTGGGAAGAACAGACGGCTGCGAGATGCCAGCTATCCCTCTCAGCCCAATGCACAAGGACCAAGGGACCCAACTGGTTGCTCAGCTAGAGCAGTCTCCACCGTCCTCCTCACCTGCCAGCCGCCCCCTGCTATCACGGTT